TATATATATAAATTCATACATGTACTGTATAGGCTATACATTTATCATTTGAACAACACAATAATATTTTTTTATTTATTTATTTGTTAATTATACTTTATTTTATTTTGTTGTATTTGACTTTATAAGTATGGAAGTATATTCATAGAAATACAGCTAACATTACAGAGCTGTGGCCTAGTATCATGACTGTAAAATCTTCAGTTGTACCACAAACAATTAATTTCAATGGTAATGAAATTTTACTTCTTATTATTTTATTTTAATATAAATAAAATTACAAATGTTTCATTGTAACAGTCTAAATGACTGAAATTAATTCATAAAAATGCAGCAAACACGTCATTGTAAAATCAGCAATTCCACCACAATAATAATAATTTAAATAAGATTACTTTTTATTTAATTTAATTTTATTTAATTTTATTTTTAATTTTATTTTATTTTACTGTAATGCATCCAAAGCGGCTTACACTGCATTCAAGGTACTCATTTACATTTGATCAGTTCCTGCTTTCTCTTGGTTTATTTTATTTTATTTGTTTTGTCTTTTATTACTTTAACCATTTAACAATCCATCGCCCCCTATGTAAGTAACCATTGTCCCATTTTAGCATCTGCCATACATGCATATCTAGCTGTCTAACTAGCCATCCATCCATCAATCTATTTCACGGACGTCCTCTTTTTTTCTCTCGCTCTGCAGAAGCGTCAGATCCTGGTCACTCTGGTGGAGATCGCTCTGCCGCTGCTCTTCTCAGCCATCCTGATCGTCCTGCGACAGAATGTGTCCTTCATCAACTACCCCAATGCCACGCACTACCACAGCTTCGCTCTGAGCGACCTGCCGTTCTCTCTGTGCTTCCAGGACCTGCAGCTGGCCTACGTGCCTGCAAACGCCAGCGTGGTGCGGCAGATCACAGAGGACGTGCAGCAGAGCCTGCAGGAATGCATCAGAACCGGTGAGAGCTTCGGCTTTTGGGCTGCTTTAGCCATGTATAGTGTGGAAGCGTGTTCATAAAGACAGCTAAAACATCTGAGCTGTGCCTTGAATCATTGGCTGATCTCGTTATCACCTCTCTCCATATGGACAATGAAATGGAAAAAATGGAAAACAATTATTGTATTTATTTTATTTTATATTATATTATCTTAATTTTTGTTTTAATAATATGGTCAAGAATGACAAAAAGAAAAATATATACAGCAAATATAATGTGTGCTTTAAATTGGCTACATGGAAATTTTTTATTCTATTTATACTGTCAAAAAATGACAAAAAATATATATAAATGGCAAACACATGCAACAAATTGACTACATGGAAAATCTGCTAATAGCAGAAATAGAGAATTTTATTTTATTTTTCTATTTATAGTCAAAAATGGCAAAAACCAAAATTGTAGTGTATATTTATTTTGTTATTTTATTTAATGCTATTTCTTTTTGTTTTATTTTTTATTATTGTATTTTATTAATCTTGTCAAAAATGACAAAAATTAAAATATATATGGGCAAACATGCAAAAAATTTTCTCCATGTAAAAATTTGAAAAAGAGAATTTTAATTCTTTTTTTTTTTTTTTATACTGTCCAAAAATGGTGCAAAAAAGTATATATAACATAAAAATAATAAAATAAAAAGAAATGACATCAAATAAAATAAATATTTAATATATAAATATTTTATTACATTTTATTGATACTGTCAAAAATATATATATAAAAAAAAATATATATATATTATTACTATTAAGATTTTTTTGTAATGCTCATTTCTAAAATATTTAATTGTATAGATATTGGTTCTCTTCAAGGCAGTTGTTCTTAAATTCCTTGTCCAGAAATCATAAATGTCTGGAAAACTTTAAAACTAATAAAACTTTGAAAAAGTCATGGATATTTTCTATAATGATTATGAATTAATGCTCTCATGCTCAACATCTAGAAATTGCACCTTTATTTTTGTTTTTATTGCACGTCTTTTCAGAAATCGTGCATTACCAGGTAAGTCATGGAAGTTCATTGGTCTAAAAGTGTGTGAACCCTGGCATTAGTGTAACTGCTCTGTTGTCTCTACAATATGTTTGAGTTTGCAGTTGAAATCAAAGCATATATTGAGTTTTTTTGAGTGAATAGGGTCGTGACCCCAGCAGAAACCTCATGGCCGCTCTTCCTGACATAAATAGCCTCTGCTTGACCCCTGAATTGTCCTGGTGCTTGTGTTTATGAGCTGTCATAAAGGCCTGCAGGGGAATATGCAGGTGGTGAGTCACGCAATAAACGATTCTCTGGGCTGCGTCCTGATCATGTGACTCAGGCCGGACCCTGTTTGTCTCTTCCTGTCGCTCTGAGCGAAGAGATCCATAATCTGATGCCTCAACTTTGACTGTAAAATTAACAGCTTGATGGTGTTAAAGTGCTGTGTGATATTCGCAAATGACTCACTGCCTGAATGTCCTGCTTTAAAAGAGTCTGCAGCAGGGCTGATGTAGTGAATGTCGGCGATTTTGACACTTTAAACCCAGACTTGTGGGATAGCTGAGATGAGGAGGTTTCCGGCAAACACATAATTTATCTGAAATGACAGAGCTTTAAGTAGCAGTTCATTTCTAGATGGATGTGATGAAAGCGATGGCTTGAGGATAAATGAGTTTAATGCAGGTTCTGATTCAGTGAAGTCTCATTTGACCGAGTCAAACAGATCATTTTGACTGATTCTTTTGGACTGTTTCATTTAAAATAACCAGATCATTTGTTCATGAGAAACATTAATCACACTGTGTGATTGTTCAAAAACAACATCATAGAAAGACGTTTTTTTCTATTTATTGTATAATATTTTGCAGCTCAGACTGCAAAACATTTCTAGTATGTTAACACTGAAATAATGCAGAACTTTCATAATCACTAACCAGTGTTATTTTAGTATTATTTTTATTCTATTATTGTATTTATTCATATTTTAATATTTTTATATTTTCAGTTTTAATGTTTCATTTATATTTTCATTTATGTTCAGTTAAATTTTTTTTGTGATTTTTGAATTAGATTTTGCTTTTATATTTTAAGTTTTAATTTTATTGTATGTTTTAGTAATGTTATGTGATTTTAAATGGGTTTTTATTTATATATTTTCAGTTTACATATTTATTAATTTCAAATAATTTTGTTTTAGTTATAGTTGTCATTTTTATTAGTTTTTTAAAAATATTTTTATTTAGCTTTAATTTCATTTTAGTGATTTTATTCCTTATTTTACTTATTTTTTATTATTTCCTAAGTTTTTCATCTAATATTTCAATTTTATTTTAGCTTTATTTTAATGAAAATTATTTTTAATAGTTTTAGTTTTATCTAACAATAGCAATGCTGTCACTAACAGAACAGATTAATATTTTTGGTAGTTAATAACAATGTCATTAACAGAACCGATTAATATATTTTGGTAGTTTTTTGGTAGTTAACAATAACAACACTGTCACTAACAGAACAGATTGATATATTGTGGTAGTTAACAATAACAACACTATCACTAACAGAACAGATTGATATATTGTGGTAGTTAACAATAACAACACTATCACTAACAGAACAGATTGATATATTGTGGTAGTTAACAATAACAACACTATCACTAACAGAACAGATTGATATATTGTGGTAGTTAACAATAACAACACTATCACTAACAGAACAGATTGATATATTGTGGTAGTTAACAATAACAACACTATCACTAACAGAACAGATTGATATATTGTGGTAGTTAACAATAACAACACTATCACTAACAGAACAGATTGATATATTGTGGTAGTTAACAATAACAACACTATCACTAACAGAACAGATTGATATATTGTGGTAGTTAACAATAACAACACTATCACTAACAGAACAGATTGATATATTGTGGTAGTTAACAATAACAACACTATCACTAACAGAACAGATTGATATATTGTGGTAGTTAACAATAACAACACTATCACTAACAGAACAGATTGATATATTGTGGTAGTTAACAATAACAACACTATCACTAACAGAACAGATTGATATATTGTGGTAGTTAACAATAACAACACTATCACTAACAGAACAGATTGATATATTGTGGTAGTTAACAATAACAACACTATCACTAACAGAACAGATTGATATATTGTGGTAGTTAACAATAACAACACTATCACTAACAGAACAGATTGATATATTGTGGTAGTTAACAATAACAACACTATCACTAACAGAACAGATTGATATATTGTGGTAGTTAACAATAACAACACTATCACTAACAGAACAGATTGATATATTGTGGTAGTTAACAATAACAACACTATCACTAACAGAACAGATTGATATATTGTGGTAGTTAACAATAACAACACTATCACTAACAGAACAGATTGATATATTGTGGTAGTTAACAATAACAACACTATCACTAACAGAACAGATTGATATATTGTGGTAGTTAACAATAACAACACTATCACTAACAGAACAGATTGATATATTGTGGTAGTTAACAATAACAACACTATCACTAACAGAACAGATTGATATATTGTGGTAGTTAACAATAACAACACTATCACTAACAGAACAGATTGATATATTGTGGTAGTTAACAATAACAACACTATCACTAACAGAACAGATTGATATATTGTGGTAGTTAACAATAACAACACTATCACTAACAGAACAGATTGATATATTGTGGTAGTTAACAATAACAACACTATCACTAACAGAACAGATTGATATATTGTGGTAGTTAACAATAACAACACTATCACTAACAGAACAGATTGATATATTGTGGTAGTTAACAATAACAACACTATCACTAACAGAACAGATTGATATATTGTGGTAGTTAACAATAACAACACTATCACTAACAGAACAGATTGATATATTGTGGTAGTTAACAATAACAACACTATCACTAACAGAACAGATTGATATATTGTGGTAGTTAACAATAACAACACTATCACTAACAGAACAGATTGATATATTGTGGTAGTTAACAATAACAACACTGTCACTAACAGAACAGATTGATATATTTTGGTCGTTTTTTTTTGGTAGTTAACAATAACAACATTGTCAATAACAGAACAGAACAGAACACGTGTAGCACAGATGCTTCCTGGTTGTGTGTCGTTATTGAGGACACTGAATTTGCTTGTTGATCCTCGAGGTGCGGGGAGATCCGATCAGGACAGGACAGAGCGCTGCAGACCTTACAGGAGACAGGTGTCGCTCTCTCTGAGCCAGTTTAACCGGCTCAACCGACAACTCCTGCTTTCATAGAGAGAGATACTGTAACTCAAAATAAAGAATCATGTGAGGAGTTGGTTACATGTTAGACCAACGTTTGACCCAGATATGAAAACTGTCGTTATTTATTCTCCCTCACATCTGTCAAACCCTTTTTGATGTTATGTGTTTTGTGGAACAACAAAGAACAATAAAATGACAATAAAAAGTACCTTATAAAATCTGAATAATAAAATGCTTTCTAATTTTTTTGTTGCACAGAAATAAATAAGAATATGGGTTTATAACAACACGAGGGTGATATAATGGCAGACTTTTCTTTTTTTGGTCAAATATTGCTTTAAAGATGCTTTTGTGTGTGTGTGAGTGTGTGTGTGTGAGTGTGTGTGAGTGTGTGTGAGTGTGTGTGTGTGTGTGTGTGTGTTTAATTGGATTTAGTTGGTAAATCCCAGTCATGACCTGGCTGAATTCCCAGTTTTAACTAGTGTCTCATTAGCTTTTCCTTTTAACATTATTTTCTCTTGGAAAAAAAAGCCCACCAGCGATGGTGATATCATTAACATACTTTATGTTTCCAGTAGGCTGACAAATCCTAAAATCAATTATTTTAAAGGTCAAACAGTGAGCCAGTGTCCACACATCTGCTTTAAAGGTCACATGGTTTCGTATGATTGCTTAAATGGTTACATATCTCATTGATTCATATATTTTTATCAGTTTAACCCTCAAACCTTCTGCGCACTGAATTGATCGCATGCAACAATATGAACAATTTGTGTCTGTTGGAGCATTCTTTGCTACCATGATGCTGAAATGTTGTGGGTGGTTGCTAGGGTGTTGCTAAGGCGGTCTGGGTCATAAAATTATGATACTACAATTTAAATTGTTTTGCATAAAGAAAATTAACTTTTTGGACTATGTTTACATAATTAAACATGTTTTAAAATGAATGAGCAATGAATTGATTGCATATTTAAACAAAAATATGAACAATTAGCATTTGTCTGATGAATGTGTTTTTGCGGCCATGATGCAAAAATGATAAATAATGATTATTATTATTTTTTTTTTCTATTTTAAAATTGAAATTATATGCATAAAGAAAGTGAATGTGAATTTTATGACATAAAATGCATGATAATCAAACACATTTGAAACTTTTTGTGCAATGAATTGCTCACACAAAAATGTAAACATTTAAAGTTAGTCTGAGGAATGATTGTTTTGCTGTCATGATGCTCAAGTGTTTTGGGAGTTTTTTAGGTGTTTTCTTCATGTCAGGTGTGAAAATTCTACACATATTAATGATGTGTCTTGATCTTGTTTTCCAGTGCGTGGCTTTGAAACAGAGGAGCAGTTTGAGGAGTTTGTGAAAACTGACCCAGAGTCAGGCAAGATCTTGGCAGCCATTGTGTTTGAGCACCAATTCACACACGACGACGAGCCGCTTCCTCTGCAGGTGAGATGTCACGGACCGGACCGACCTGTGTGTTAACATATTAGCATTTCCAATCACCCTCTTCCTGTTTACCTCCTCCTGTTAGCCGAGATCAACCTGATCAACTGCACGCTGAACACTTCAAATCGTTATGTAGATGAGTTTTGTGAAGAAATGTTTTCACTCCAGCGTCAGCTGAAAAAAAAAAACATTATTAAATAAAACAATATAGAATTATTATTATTATTTAAATAGGTATTTTGCTTATAATTTAAATATATGAATTGTTGTTGTAATTATTATTATTATTATTATTATTATTATTATATTAAAAGTAGTTATTTTATTTTTATCGCTTTTTATTATTTTATTTAGCAATTAATAGCAATAAATCATGTGCTATTTACTAGTAATAGTATTACAGTAATGAAAATCACTAGGGCTGGTCCAAATACCATTTTTTTGAGCTTTGAAGCTTCTGTAGTAATCAACACCGAATATTCGAAGCTTCGGAGGGAGGGGGCTGAACATATTCTTCTCTCAATACCGTGTCGCCGCGACAAAATTACAATAGAACCTAGAGCCCTGCACGGGCCCTTAAATTTAGGCCCTAGCCCGGCCCTCCCAAAACAGCTTATACTACTGTTTCAGCTATTAAAATAGTTCAGTTTTGTATGTAATAGCAAAGCGATTATATTTCGTTTCGTTTTTTTAAGAAGTTAAAAAAACGTTTGGAGCATTTTTTGTTCGTTAAATATAAGTAACGACCAAGCGGCCAGCGGCAGACAGTGAGCCTACTGTATGTTTGATCAATTTAGCCTTCTGAAATCATCACGACTTGCCTAAAATAAAATCTATAGATATAAAACTGTTCAAGCATATAACAATGTTTAAACGTTAAACCTAGATAAATATGTGCTATATCCAATAGTTTGTGCGGAGACGCTTTGCAGGACAT